TCCAACAACCCCTCATCGGAAGAAGGGGGGGTAAACTCACACACAAATGATGACGAGTCATCGCAAGCTGAACACTCAGAAACAGCTACTGCTGTGCTGACGGTTCAGACAAACCAAGATTACACAGACAAGGCTGAACGTGTGAAGAAACGTCAGAAAAAACCTAAGAGGTTTCTGTGTAACTTTATCAGAAGGGGGGTCGCCAAGAAGGCATACCTGTCAGTAACGCTCGAAGGTGTCCTCACACATGAAGCACTACTGGACGGTGGGGCGGACATAACAATTATGTCAGCTAAACTGTTCGAGGAGCTGAGGACAGCCGCTAGCAATGTTAACAGGGTAATACCTCTCACAGAATGTGCTATAGAAATGCAGGGTCTCTCTGAGAAGAGGACAACCCTGACAGCTATAGCAATGGTTCACATGCAGATTGGCAGAATGACACTATACCACCCGGTACACGTCTCCAGTGTTGACTCATTCCCATTTTTGGTTGGCCAGGATTTTATAAATCGCTTCGACGCGATTATAGATTATGGTGATCAGACGATGTGGGCCAAGGTGAGCAAACCACTGCCAATAGAAATGCCTCTGGAGTGTACTACAGACTGCCTAACAGCAGGTACCGCGGAAGGTGCAAAGGACTCCTCAGCTGAGGACATGAGCCCGGTGAGTATTCCTCTGACAGCATGTGAACCCAAAGAGACCCACCAGGTGGTCCAAACTCTGACCCAACAAGATAGCCTCCTCTGTGAGCTGAAGCAGTCAGAGTCCACCAAACACTACATACCACTGGTAGTTAAAGGTGTAGAGATCCAAGGATCCCACACCAACGATGCTGTTCTGTCTCTGTGGACAGATAAATCAGCAATTAACCGAGCTTTCTATGAAACTTGGTTCACAAACACGTGGGTCTAGACCTAATTTAAAAAGCTTTCCGCTTTCCATTAGTTCCCAATAGTTCACAGGTAATGACCGCTGAAGGAGTCATTAACCTAAAACTGAACTGGAACCAACGAGAACTGGTTCACCCGTTTCTCGTGATCCAAAACTTACCACATGCAACCTACATAGGCTCTGACATTTTGGTAAGGTTGGGTGTCCACGTGGACACCATCAACAAGGTGCTGTGGTCCCTAAAACCAGCCACAAAGGATCCTCCTGTGCTAGACACAGCAAACCTTAGGGCTGGGCAGACCATTCCAGAGGCCTGCCAGGTTGCTAGCAACCAAACCACCACAGTACCACCTCAGGTGATTAACCTAATGGTGCAAATCCACATCATAGCTGGACAAGCTATTAGCCATAAACAGGCATATTTTCAACCTTCTCCGGCGTTTTTCAACTTGGGATTGTCTGTGGAAGCCACGAACCAAGTGAGCCTTGACTCCAGGACCACATCTGTTGCTGTGTGTAACACAGGCACGGATGAGGTGCTGATCCCAAAAAACACTATGCTAGGATGGTTGATTTCCACTGATTTTCATGATTTTGAACTAGGCATTCCATTTCTGGGAGGACTCCCAGATAACCTGGTACCGAGTCAAGAAACTGGGCCAGTATGGTTCACAAAACCAACACAGGCCATAGCTCTTTTCTCAACCGATGACGTCGACCAAGGACCTCAAACCTATGGTGTCTTACCCATAGACAGGTCCGACGACTCAGAAAGGGATTCGTTGGAGCTCCCCAAAGAGCAAGAACCCTTATCAGTCTCATCACAGATTGAACAGGTGGTCGCCCAAGCCGACGCTCTGACATCTGATGAAGAAAGGGACAAACTTCGCCAATTTCTTTTAAAATATGAAAAGTCATTTTCAACTGACCCAGACATCATCTAACTTCAGAAGTTGGATCCTGCAATTAACTCGATGATACTGTATCTGACTGACCCAGACAAATACACTCCATCGATAGGCAAACTGGATTCCAATCCAGACCTTAAAGTCCTCTTTCAGCTGCGCAAACAGTTAAAACTACTCAAGGACAACCTAACTTTAGCTCATGGAGCGACGTCCTCACCCGTGTTCGCAGTCCCCCATGACCGAAGGGGGGTGACGCCAGTTAGGGTAATGTTACCAGACGCGATAACGTGATCAAATCTGACATTCAGAGTGAGTGACGCACCGAAACGTCGTTTTCTAGTTGCTTAATCACTACTTTTGTCAATGTTGAAACGTTGTTTTACTGGTTGCTTAGTCACTGTTTTTGTCGATGTTGAGACATCGTTTAATTGGTTTTTGGTATTGTTTCTGAACACCCCAAGCAAGAATGACTTTTGTTGTGTAGTTAAGTTAGAGACTAAGAGGCCTTTAACCATGCCAACATGCAGTTCATTCAGTAAATTACAATCTTTGCGGAGTCAATGTAGATTAATGCTACCTTAAGTACCATAATCTACATTGATCTCACAACGCTTAAGCCGAACCTACTCGAACAATTCTATTCGGGGGGATAGCTAATTCTTTTTGATGAGTCTCGCCATAGACTTCCAAAACATTTATGGGGAAACCAAACACCCAATCTCAAGTCGTTCGTCTAAAAGACAACAGACAATTGAACCAAACTATATTTTGCCATGTAAAGCTAACTTAAACCAAGTTAGAAATGGAAAAATAGTTTGGAACCCTTTTCTATAGGTATAAACCCCTATAGTTACCCTTTTTCAGCATGTTCCACCCCTTAACTGGTAGTTGTAGCTGTTCCCAATCATAATAGCTTACACACCAGGTGCATATAGTTTAAGGCCTTATGTAAAATCCCCCTCATAAGCCCACCTTAAACCACATAATTGCATGGCACATTGAACCAGAACGGCACAGACTGGACGTCGACCAGAGACGACCTTCGCTGGAGGCGACCTGCAATCCTGACGTTGGTCTCCACTCTTCATCCAGTGGCCGCATCTTCAGTTCAATCCAAGGGAACCCCTCTGTATGCTGATCAATCAACACTTCCAATCGTTGTGGATTTACCGTTGTGGATTATATGACTTTTTCCAATGGATTACAGACTCTGTTTCCAAGGGGTTAAAGCATTGCTACAATGGAATTACCAACAACATTATGGAATTATCATCAACACAATGGAATTACCAAGAACATTGTGGAATTACCTTGACTTTGTTTTCCTTGCTGGATTACTTTTGACTCTGGTCTTCCTTGCTGGATTACTTTTGACTTTGGTCTTCCTTGCTGGATTACATCAAGCTCAAGGACATTCGAAGGCGTAAGTTCATGTTTGGAATTCATCCCCATGGACAGGCGATGATTTCCAAAGGGGGGACTGTAGTGAACTTGACCTGATGTCAAAACTTGACCTTAGGATCATACGGTCAGAAACTGTCATTTCATTGATTTGCATCCAGAAATACAGGTTGACCCATCCTGAGACTTTCTTTCTTGAATTAATCAAGTAGAAAAAGACAATTCTCTATGATCATTACTATTTTACAAATGTTTTGATAATCAAATTGTGTTAGTTCAAACAATGTTTACATGTTGAAGTGAACTACTCATTTTTATTTACTTAAAACAGTAATAATGATTTTTAATCCTCATTCAAAGAAGAAATCAGGTGAATGATGCATTGTCTGATTTTCTGTCTTCAATGAGCAAAGTTTGTAAGTGTGTCGAAGTTCAAGCTTCGGTCAACTGAAAGTTTACTGAAAAGAAATGTCATGTTTAACTTTTACAGCAAGATACTAGGAGTAGTGACTCCACGAAGTCTGGTTTCTCCATAATATCTCTTTGTCTGTTCTTAAACAATCTTAATCTTTTCCTTGACTTTTCATAACACCTTACATCACAAACCACACCTCTGCTTTGGTCCATCGACCAATCAAAAAGCTCTCAAATGAACCGGAAGTAGAGCCCATTTAAATGTTGGCACTTCCTAGTTCAACCAGAAGAGTTCGGCTCGAGGTTCAGTCTTGAATCGTGCCAGTCTTGAAGATGGAGTAGCAGTTTCAGAGAGTTTTTGGAGTTCCAGAATGCAGAACGCTGGAATTCAGGATGCTGCTGAAAGAGAATCAAGCTGAACCAGAGACGATTTGGGAATTGTAACTTCTGTTTGGATAACCTCACGACTCCAGGGGTTTTTAGCTGTTCTCACGGAGACGCTGAAAGAGTTGAAAGGAGAGCTCTACACCAACGCTGAAACTATCGTCTGCAAGGTAAAAAGTTCTATCTCAACCAAGCGTACCGTTGGCCCAAGCTGATTTCCAAAGGAGCGTGCATGTTCTGGTTAAAACAGACAAATTCCCTCACACATCTCTCTGTAGATAAACCTCATCTTTCCATCTTTAAACTCTCCTATCTGCTAGCAAATTAATCCAGATGTTTTCAGAAATGTCTGTAGTGAAGCAACGGAAAATCATGGCCGTATGGTTTTCCTGGTTGTAAAGCTGATTAATTATGTCGTTATTTTTCAATTCTTGCCAATTAATGTAAATGTGTGATGTGTTAAACTTGATTCTGTTAATAAATGACCCACTCGTTTGGTGAGTCAAAGATAATTAACGTCTCACGTCCACATTTTATTAAATTCAATGCACGTATGTTATACAGTCCAGAAAAATGAAAGAACCCGTTTAATTGATGAATATATCTCAGGATATGTCATACTACATATGTATGCATATGCATATATATATATGTATGCATATGCATATATATATACATATATATGTATATGCATATATGCGTATATATATATATATGCATACATATATATGTATATATATACATATATGCATACATATATATATATATACATATATGATATGTATATGCATATATGCGTATATGCGTATATATATATATATATATATATATATATATATATATATATATATATATATATATATGTATGCATATATATATATGCATATAAAAAATAATAATTAAAAAAACGTGTTTCTGAAGTTGTTAACTCTGACTAATTTATTTATGTTGCAGTCACTGATGCTTATGTGTAATTTTTGTTGCTTTAACTTATAGGTACAGAAGAAGTGTGTATCAGCAAGTGCAAATGGCTCCTGATGGATCTCACTGGTTCTTCAGACACCCAGCAAGTTCTTGGCCTGGCCCACATAGAGAAAGAAGCATGTCTAATCAGAAGAAGCTTTACTCTGTATATTCTACCCAAAAACGACCAAGAGGAGGAGTACAGTATATCTCATTTGACGATCCTCATATTCGTCATATTTCCTCAGCCCCGGGAGGCAACTCCCTAACAGATGCTGACAAAATTCGCCACATCTTTAACGAGCTTCCCAGGGTCACCGTGTCAGAGCCTGCACATGACGACTGTGCCTTATTGCCCCCGCCATTGGGGCCTTTTATCTCTGCCAAAATGAAAGAGAAAGATAAGCAGATGTCTTCTAGCAACTTTCATGTCAATGAGAGGTGGCAAAATGATTTGCACAAAAAAACTATTGATAACTTCCCAGCATCTGACCAAAACTGTAATAACAGTTACAACTCAAAGTCTCAACTTTTTTCTTCATCACCCTCTTCAGCCTTTCAAGCCCTATTTTCAAGAACCTCTTCTCATCAAGAGTCTAACTCAGAGCATGTCTTTGCCAAAACCATAACTCAAGTCAAGACAATTGTACCAGATTCAGGAGCAGAAAACAATAGGAACACCAAGAGGAGAGTTAGTGAAACCATTTTCTGCCTTGTGTCTGTTCCCATTCACACACCAACCAACATCCACACAGATTTAACAGCTGATCAGAACAACAATGAGGCAAAACCAAACTTGACCATTACCAATACCAAAACCTTTGCTGTAGGCCTCAAAGAAAGCCCAAATATTCGTAGCAAGTCTGTAAATGAGATGCCTCTCAAATCACAGTATTCTCACTTTCATTCCAGCAGGACATCCTCAATGAGGAATTACAAGCGAGCTCCTTTAAGGAAGGAAGTAATAGATGCCTGGGTACTCCAAGCAAATAAAGAAAAAAACTCATGTTATGCTGGATCCTGGCCTGGAAACCAGTATCGTAATCAGGAAACTCAGACTGTCTCACCTATTAAAGATGGTAAAAGTCCAGAACCCCAGAGCTTAACTGTGGGACAGGAGCCTATACAGTCTGCCTCCAATATGGATAACAATTTTGGAACAGACAGCCCCTCTTCCTATGGCTACCCTATGGCTGGTCAAAAAAACCTTCATCCTTCCCGCAACAGCGCCTTTTCCTGTCTCAGCATCAGCCCAATACAAACCTCATCATTTCAGCCCTCACAACAAGACCCATCCTCTCCTTCCAAAGCACAGAATCAAACTGAGCATCTATCATTCTCCTCTTCGAAGATGAACATTCCACCAGAAAGTGCAGAGACAGTGATTTTTGGTCAGTTTCTCTTAAAGCCAGTGAACCAATGGCCCTGTGATGTCATTGGTGAATTGGAGACTATCAATAAAGAGATGGAAGACACAATCAGCAAGAGACCAAATGTGGGTCAAATCCTCAATGAAGCTGACAATGTAGATAAGAGACGAGCTTGGGTGGATGGACCATGTTATACTGCTGGTCCAGAAGCAGGCCAAGACACAATTAATCTTCCACCTATACACATAGAGCAGCCCAACCACATAATAAAGAGATCAAAGTCATTTGACTCTAGTCCTGATCTAGAATCCATTGAAAGGAATAACTCTTTCCTCAGGCCACAGGCCAACAAGAACACCCTGCTCCTTAGTTCAAACCCCAGAGACAATTTTCTTCTTTCCTCTCTTCCCCCACATGATGAGTCAAACCAGCTCTATAAGCAGGACATTCCAGTCCCTCAAGAATCCTTATTGAGAGATGTGGGACTAACTGTTTACACAGAAACTCCTGGTGGGCCCGGAAAACCAATGCAGCGCTCACTCTCAGTTCCATCTTCACTAAGTCAAAATTATCTTAGTCAGTCAAAATCTAGTGGCAGCTTTGAGCAAGATTCAGATGAAAAACTTTATTCTAGAGTAAATATTGAGCAAAATGCTGAATCAGAAATGATTTCACAATGCAGGGATGAGACAAATGCTTTTAGAAAAAGCTATGAAAGTTGTATAGCACCTCAGAAAGAAAGCTCATCATGTAGCACAAAGCAGGCATTCAGTGTTTCTTTTGTATTTGAGGATGATGATAGCAGTGAAATATATGCACTTTCTGAATCTTTGACCTATAAGAATGACTCGACAATGGCAGATAGGCACCTAGAGAGCTTACTTAATCAGGAAAAAGCTAACTCCTTGCCTGCAGAGGACCTCAGCAACCTGTATGAGGTCCAGTGTGCAGAAGGAATTCCTGAAAACGAGTCCAGAGCAGAAAGAGCAGCACAAATCCTGGGTATAGCTTTTCCAGTTGAGACTTTATGTGTGGCTGACAAACAGGCTGATGATAGTCAGCCTAATGCAGGCCCTACCTTAGCTGAGAAACACCACAGTTCAAAACAAGACATACAGTATGTGGTAGAAAAGTGTGTGCAAGTCAGCAAGAAATTTCTGACAGTCCAGGGAGCAAATACAGAAGAGACTAGATCAAAGGTGGAGGTAAAGCCTATATATGACCACACTGATGGCCAAGACAACCAGGATACAAACAGCCAGCCAGGTCTAGACCTTCCTGAGTTCCCACCAAGTAAACTTCTACTGTCCCTACCTGTCGCCCCAGACAAAAAGCTGGCACTCAGCATGTACAGTGCAGAGAAGAAAGGAAGAGACGGGGCATGTAAACAAATTGATTCTGTGCTGGATAAGATGAACTGTTCTGCAGTTTTATCTGCTGAACCTCTGACCAGTTTAACTACAGAGAGAATGTCTCGTTTTAAAAAACTAGACTCTGTGTCTCAAATAAGAAGCCTCAGCCTGAAAAGTCCAGTATCTGAAGAAAAAACAGAGACTAAAGAAAGAGTGAGCGAAGCAAAGGGATATGATTTTCACCAAGAGGATAAGGAATGGAATGAAAATAGAAGTACAAAGGATCACAACCAAGTTGAACACGTGAATGAAAATTTGAAGTTGGAAATTGTTGAAGAGTTAAAAGATGACATTGACAGGGGGAGTAAAAAAGAACGAAAACAAGAAGAAGTAGAAGAGAATGCTATTGAAGTTGTTCTAACAGTAGACAATAAGCAGGGTAAGGAAGTATTTGAAGAAAAAATTAAGTTAAACATTTTAGAAGAAGGCTCTGAGAACACTTTGATGAATGTAAGAGAGGAGCATACTGCAGTAGCAGTTGAAAGAGCTGAATTGACACAACAATCAAAGAGAGAAAAGTTTCCCATACCAAAGCAGCGCACCAGGTTCCAGAAACCTCCTCTCCTTCCTAAACCTTGCAGTGTTCCCAAGAGAGAAGTAACTCTGCCACCAAGCTCCAGCACCAGGACCTGTGGCCCCACATATCTGGATGATAAGGAAATGCTTTGTGTCCCAGGTGGGTGGGTGTGAACCAATAATTCTTTTCACTTGAAAATAATTTGACAATTTTATATGTTTATGCAACTTTTTTGTTAATGTTAATATTAACTAGAAAAATAACATTCCTGCAAAAATGCAGTGGGAATGCTTATTGTTGGAAAAACAGATAGAATTAGCTAAAAAAAACATGCTATATTGTAGCTGAAATGAAAGAACAAGCCTTAATTAGAAGAAGAAAGCAGAAATAGCACATTATTATAGTTATAAATAAGCAGAAACGAGCACAAAAATTTGGAAATTAGCTAACAAAGCTGAAATTAACATAAAAATAGCTGAAAAGATGGAAAGAAACCTTCCTATAGAAGAAATATGTCACACACGTTCATTCAGTATATTAGGCAAACTGTAAAACATTAGCATGTGTAGCACACATGTAATCAAACATGTATATTGGCAATATAAAGAGGGACAACAATGGGCAAGCATAAACCTCCTACTTCATATATTGTATATAACGGGAGTTTAGAGTCAGAGTCAGAGATTCTTTATTGTCATTCGCACCTCATGTCAGTCAGAGTCAGAGTTTCTTTATTGTCATTCGCACCTCATGTGGTACATGTGGTGGAGCAAAATTATGTACACAGGGTCCCAGTTACATCCAACAATAAAATGTATAAGAAAAACAGTAATAACATCTAAGATATGAACTAAGAAAAACATCAACTAAATATACACTAAGCACTCATAACATAAAAACATTGAACATCAGCACAAACATGAACATGAGTCTGTGTGAGCAGATGTGCACGCATGAACACATCAACATTGAAACAGATCAGCAGCAACATGAAACAGATCAGCAGCAACATGATGTGGTTTTTCACAGTGATTATTCAAGTTAGAGATTCATGAGGCTAACAGCCTCAGGGTAGAAGCTGTTCCTCAGTCTAGTGGTTCTACACTTAATGCTCCTCAACCTCCTTCCTGAGGGGAGTGGGGCAAAAAGTGTGTGTGCTGGGTGAGTGGGGTCCTTCATGATGCAGGTGGCCCTCTTCCTGCATCTGGAGGTGTAGATGTCTGTGATGGTGGGGAGGCTGATTCTGACAGACTTCTGTGCAGCCTTCACCACTCTCTGCAAAGCTTTTCTTTCTGCAGCTGTGCAGCCTCCATGCCACACGTTGATGCTGGAGCACAGGATGCTCTCCACTGCACACCTGTAGAAGGAGGTGAGGACTGAGCTTCCCAGACCAGCTCGCCTCAGCCATCTGAGGAAGTAGAGTCTCTGATGAGCTTTCTTGATCAGGCTGGTGGTGTTGTTGCTCCAGCTGAGGTTGTCATTCATGTGTACACCCAAGTACTTGTAGCTGGAGACCACTTCCACCGCAGATCCTCTTATGTTCAGGGGGGTGTAGATGTTTTTGTTCCTTCTGAAGTCCACAATCATCTCCTTTGTCTTCTTCACATTGATGTGAAGGTTATTCTCTTTGCACCAGCTCTCCAGGTGTTCCACCTCTTGCCTGTAGCTGGACTCATCATTGTTTGTGATGCATCCCACCACCGCTGTATCATCTGCAAACTACAATGTGACAGCCTGGATGGGTAATTGCACAATCATACGTGAGCAGAGTAAACAGGAGGGGGCTCAACACAC